ATGGTAGTTTCTTAGAGTTGATATTAGGAAAAAATATGACATCTGAAAAAATTTAATACATAGTTTCAATTTGTGTCTACTTGATCAATAAAATTGAACCATTTCGTACCATTCAAGTACCGCGATAAACGTGATAATGGTAGGCTGAAATATGATATGTTTTATATGGTTTTCATTTTAATGTTCGTTATAGTCTAGTATTTGATTTATTTAACTACAAAGGTTATCTTACGTAAGGATTTATCACACAGAGTGACCGATCTAACATTGTAAAAATTCTTTTTCTACTATACACAATTTTAAAAATTTTTAAAACGTGATAAACCCTTACGTAAGACAATTTTTGTGGTTATATATAAATCAAATATTATAATGTAATATAATAGAAGGGTTAAAAGTACAAAATAACTGTTAGATTATTTCGTAGTTCTAATCTTAATCTTTGGTGTTGTTATTTTTTGCTCCAGCAACGCCGGGCTCATCTGCTAGTAATTAATAGAAAATGGCAAAATGCTTAATTTTGAAAGTACCACGCACAATTTTATTTATTGCGACTAACAATGTAAAACTTAGTTTTGTAATAAAATCTCATAACAGCCAGGAAAATTACGCAACTCATTGCTAAATTTTTTATTTCTAGTTATTAGAACAAATGCATTTTTGAGGAGACAAAGATAGCAATTAATAATATAAAAAGTTTTTAAGCAAAATATCGTAACAGACGGCGCCACACACAGTTTTAACTGTTGCCAGAAAAATTACGCAACTCATTGCTAAATTTTTAAAAAAATACAATTTTAACAAATGCATTTTTGAGGAGACAAAGATAGCAATTGTTATTCGAATCTCATTTTAAAAGTTCACGTTAGTCACTTAAATAAGTCACTTCGCTATGAAAAATCGGATGAATCTTTGCTTAAATGTGTGACTAAATGATAAATATTCGTCATTTCGCAACATCAATCATGAAATTTATACTTCACCTTTTCTTTCTAGTAACTTCTGACCTTTCTAAAAGGTCATCAGACAGGAGAACGATGCTANCAGTTTAATCGACAGAAACATTATACTGATTAGTTTTAATTTTCGTTTTTATTGATCATCAAAATAAGGAGAAAATTAAGAATCTACCACGCCGTATTTTGCTTCATCTGAAATACATAAAAATATTGATTAAATATTTTAGTAGTTTCTTTTTAGTGCATATTAAAACTGAAGACTTATAAATATAATCTATAAATCGGAAAGTGTTGTAAATAGAAATTTATAATGTTTTCTATTCCCGAAAAAAAAATATATGTATATATATAAATAACTAATTTAAATATTATGAGGCTCTTAACAAAAATCTCAATTTTTTTTTTTTTTGAAGATATTGTGAAGCGAATCACTATTTTCTTATATCAGATGAGTGCTTCCAGTTCGCGAACAGCTGTGGTAAGCAAATTAAAAGGTTTACTTGTTAGTAGACGATGCTAAACAAACCTTTCAGTTAAACAGTTGCTTATGAAAATGATGTCGTCGTTGCTGACTTTTCTAATTAGTGAGTGTTTCCGGTTACTAATTGTTTTGCTTGCTTTTCTAGCGATAAATTTAGTTTAACAACTGGATGACTTTGCTTAATAAAATGGCTGTCTGTAGTCGATAGTTAAGAGTAATATTTGTAAGACTAATTTCATGAAAATGAGTACAAATAAAGTTTTAGAACTGACACGACATTAGAGAGGTTGCGGCCGAAGTTTTCGTCTCTCAAACGTAAACGTCAAACGTGAGTGCCGCTTACAAGATAGTGGCGCTCGACGTTCGGTGTTCACGTTTGAGAAATGAAAACTTCGGCCGCAACCTCTGTATTAACAAATCTTTGTATCTGTATTACCTCTTAGTTTAAGCTGTTTGATCAATAGCAGTTTTTTACCTTCGATTTAAGTTAAACAATGTAAAGAAGTTTTACAAAAAACATAATTAACTAGAACTAATGAACCAGGCTTATTATACTCCCAGCGAATTTAATTAACTCTTACTGGCCGTTTTCAATTGGATTACGTACATTCAGTGGCGCCCCGCAAACTATAAAAAACGGGGTACAAGCTGTAAGAAAAGGCATTGTACAGTACGTATATATATATATATATCCTTTGATTAACGCAGTTAATTAATTCCACGGTGCTACCACGTAACCACTTATATCAAAATCACATTAATCAGATACAGTGATACCTCGGTACTCGACCGAACAATCACGACCCCGCAAGAACAAAGTTTCAGTCATTAACAAATATTTTAATTTTAATTTGCTCATCAGTGAACGTTTTCCGTGATAAAAATGAGTAACTAATTTTAAAACAAAATGAAACCTTAGAGTTCGTTGGAGATTAAGAAAAAAAGCAACAGCATGACAAAGGAGAATACGTCCCCCAAGTGCTCTAATGTACAGGCACTCTGTATATAATTATAGCAATCTACAACAACAACAAGAAAACAAAAACTATGATAACTATCGTCAACATTACAATAAACATTAGATGTACAATAATTACAAAATATTTTATAATTATTGTAACCGGAAATAGTCAGTAGTTCGTATCTTTGTCGTTTCACAGAATTAAACACGAGCTATTATGAGTTAGTTGTGCCCTGGAACAACATAAAGTTGTATAAAATGAGTGAGGATACTTCGACGATCTGTCACAACTTTCGATATAGATTATTGTCTTTTGTTGGCCATTTTGTTAAGTAAAGACGACCATTCAGTTGAAAAGCGAAACCATAATGAAATTCTGCTGAATTCAAGTTAGCAAATTACTTGCTGACTGGAATTACGGTACATGAATTTTCTATGGATATTTAAACATGCAATAATAGAAGAAATTTGCGAATATTAACATATTTATATTATAAATAATGAAAATAAACTTAATTAAAGATAGGAAGTAAAAGATGCATACGTTTTCTGCTTCAATATTTTATTCTTCTCTTCCTTACTGTAATAAAAAAATGATAATTCATTACAAAAATCGTTTCACATTGAATTATTTAAACTAATATTAAAATATCTCCAATTATAAAAAGAATTGAAAATTAAATAAATCAAAATTTTTTTTCTTATCCCAGTAAATTTAAATTTTATATAGAAAATATAACATTTAATACGTAACTAATGATAAGTAATTAAGGATCGTAGTACATTCGCTATTCTTATTTTTTAATAAAATTTCGATTGTTTGCTCCATTTTATAAACGTATTAAAAATTTATTGAGAGATCGTAATTGAAATACCATATTCAACGCTGTCTAGAGAGATATTTAGCAGTCCAAGTTTAACCTAATTTGGTATTGAAACATTTCAGGAAATTCAGAAGGCATTTCCGTGAGAATAAATTAGTACCAAAACTCGTTACTATACCATTTTTGACATTACAAGCAACAAAAGGTGAATTTGTTGATGGCAGTCGATCTGCGACTTGGCTACTACGGGAATGCGCTATTTTTTGTGGCCATTTAGGAACGACGGAGAAAGAAAGGGATCACCAATCTCTGAGTGGTTCCGTTCCCTAAGTACTGGGAGTTTGGTTGTGGGTTCGCGCCTCGCCAGGACGGGCTGGCCATGTGGAGTTTTTCGGGTTGTCTCCACGTCTGTAACGCCTGAATATGGGCTAGTTACCCTTAAAAAGACCTCCCGGAAGGCATTTCCTTAGGCAGATCGCCTAAGTGTTGGGTTGCCGTAACTTAACTAAACTAACAAACAGAAAGAAAGAAAGATAACGGCGCCTGTACTATCGATAATATCGTGGTAGAAGAATCTACGATTTTAAAATATACGTTTTTAGACAGAAAAGATGAGTCTTAATTGTAAAAATTTAACCTTAAAATGGATTATCTTATCGACAGAACATTCAAAGTAGCCTCGAAAAAATTCGAGAAGACACTTACATACCGTGTGCACTAGGGTTTCCGATTTCCTGGTCCCGGGATTCCGAGAAAAAGTGAATTGTTTCCCGGGATATAATTAATTATTTTTAAGATACAAAATAAATCTTTAAAAATCGAATGATATAATTATTTTTCATTCTTAAGTAATTCAACGCATCTCACAACGTCCAAAATAATAATATTAATAATGCTGTGTAAAAGATGTATTAAAAATTACCTTTGAATTACGTAGACATTTTCAGAAATAGAAAAAATTTATTATTAAAAGTTGTTGGAAACTGCTTACAATAAAAATGCCTTTGAATTGAGTTGAAAATTTAAAGAAAAAAATGAACTTAGATCAAACTTTTAACTTAGAAGGTAATTTTTGGTTTTAAATAAAACATATTAAAAAAATTTACAATAATACTTTGTATTAAGATTTTAAAAAGCAAAGATAGTCAATAACACTCAATTTGATTTTTATTTTACTAAAGAAAAGTCCCGCTACCGAAAATGCCTTTTTTCGATTCAATTGATGCGGGTGGAATCGTCTAATATATTTAAGAGAAGACAGATGTTATGTTTTTTTCACTTGTATCCTGGAGGATTTCTAGTTCATTTTCGGGATGCGTTACACTACTTCTTTTGCCGTCTAGTATTCTTGATTTGTCTATTTCGACTGTTTTAATAGCGAACTTCAAGATTATCGCCCGATAATTCGGCAGTTCGTTTGGCTTTAATAATCAGGTTTATGAAGAAAAACTTCATACTTCCATAATTCGTACTCGTTTGTATCCTTGCTCAATTTGTACAACCTGGCGTTACGCAGTTATTGAAGATACTGGACATGGTTAAAAATTAAAACAGCATAAGCACAATTATTCCAGATATTACAGGTTCTGACAAGTAAAGAATTTTCAGAGACTTGTCACAAATAGCTGCATATTGATTATTAAAAAATTTACTAAGAACTCCAACTAATTAAATTAATAATTTAATTTTATTAGAGATATTGTTAGTAAACAATGTTATTTTATTATTTTTCACATGATTAATTTTTGTTTTGTTTTAATTTATTTTATTTTATGTTATTCCGTTAATTATTTAATTTTTTTGAATTTATATTCTATTTTGGAATACTTTAGTTCTAATTTCGTTCACAACCTGATGATGGCCTGTGAATCAGGCTGAAAACGTTTGTTTTTATGAAATAAATACTTTCTCGGCAAGGATAAGGTGTTATTTGTATGCTATGAAAACAGTGAAGTTTTAATAAATTTGCGGGATATCCCAGGATGAGAAGAAATTCCCGAGTTAAAAAAACAGCCGGGATCCCGTTGGAGAAACCCTAGTGTGCACTTAACTTGCGCTTTCACAACCAAATTCACAAATAACTTTCACAACTTTTTATTCATAAAACACATAATGAATCCCATAACAAAACTGCCCAACGCCGTGTTGCCTTTTACCGTAAACTACTACTACGAGTGGCCGTTTTGCTGTGCAACGGTGCGCACTCCAGCCGGAATATAAGAAAGCGTTCAGCGTGAATTTTTAAACGGATTTCACTTCCGCTGGGTTTACGAGGAGGTATAAAAAACTCACCCCAAGTCCACCTCTACCTCAGAAAGATCAATCGTGGATAGGTCCACCTTCACCTCCGGGAGGTTCACCTTTACCATCGCGAGGTCCACCTTTACCGCCGGGAGGTCCTCCTTCAGCGCCGGGAGGTCCACCTCTACCGCCGGGAGGTCTACCTTTACCGCCAGGAGGTCCACCTCTACCGCCGGGAGGTTTACCTTTACCTTCGGGAGGTCCACCTTTACCGCTGGGAGGTCCATCTTCAGCCCCGGGAGGTCCATCTTCACCGCCGGGAGGTCCACCTCTACCGCCGGGAGGTCTACCTTTACCGCCAGGCGGTCCACCTCTACCGCCGGGAGGTCTACCTTTACCGCTGGGAAGTCCACCTTCAGCCCCGGGAGGTCCACCTTCACCGCCGGGAGGTCCACCTCCACCGCCGGGAGGTCTACCACTATTTTTTCCTTCGGTAACTGAAATAATTATATTAGCCTTAAGCATAATTTTATATGTTGTAGAAAATCAGTTATAACATCAAAATCCTCATTTTATAAACAGTAATATAAAATCCTATTTAAAAAATTAATTAAATTTTTTCAGTTTAATCAATATGTTTATAATCCAAATACAGTAAAAAAATTATTGTAAAATAAGTGCAAGATAAAGTACTTACTCAAGACATCAATCAATAGAATCAAACACAGACAAAGTACGAATTTCTTCATATTGAACGAAGATAGCTTCTGATCCTTCACCTATTGAAATATTTATACGCTTCAGAATTTTATAAATCCACGTTCCTCTATTTGTTTTATCTACGAAAATCCCATTTATTGGAGCTTCGCAATTAAATTATTTCATTCTGTAAACAAATTCATCCATAGATTTAACCAATGAGAGAATTTATTTGTTAAGCTGTCCGTGGGAATAACTGAATACTACGAGGGCGATTTTTTCAAGTTCCGATGATCCATAAAACAAAGACAAGTGTAAATAATAAAATCAATTTATTACCGAAAGTTAGGTATACTTATGGTTAATTTCGACATAATCACCGTGAAGATTGAGGCTGTGGACGAGCTTTTCCATCCCCTTGTCGTAGAATGTTACCGCCAGTAAATTGAGATGGCCTTAACAACGTTGTTTTGAAGATCGTCATTAGTTCACTAGTCTCAAACCTCTGCCCTGCTAGCCACGTTTTCAATTCAAGAAAGAGATGGAAGTCTTCACGCATTAAAAAATTTTAAACTGGATGGTAGTCTTCACCATCTTTAAACATCCAGCGTATAGTTCCGGGCGTCTTCACACCTATTTCCTGAACAGGAAAAGTGGCTAGGAGGCCAGAGGTTTGAGACTAAAGCCGGATGCACACATGCGGCGCGGCAAGGAAAAGCGGTGACACAAACGCATCTTCGCCGCGCGGCAGCACAACCACACAAGCGGCAATCCGCTTACATTTCGGCGCATGCGTTCAGTATTCAAGATGGCGAACGATATCCACGTGTTTACACACTGTCCCTATTCACGTGTTTACAAATTTTGTTTTGTACGGCTCGCTTTATTTAGCTAAAAGATTTTGTCGAAGATTTTAATTAGTAATATTTTTTTGGATCGAAAAAGAACTGGTATACAAAATAGACTTATTTGTGGATCAAGATCTCTCGATAAAGAATACTATTTCGAGTAAGATTCAGTTGTTTTGTTCTTTGAATTAAATTATATATGATTATTTGTGTAGAATTTGTTTTAAATTTGTTATCCTTTCCTCTTTATTCTGATTTTAATTATCTCGGTTAACCGCCTCGAACTTTCCG